AGCCCAATAATACTAAAAACCATTACAAAAAATATAGGAACAGTTGAAAATGGCAGTTCTACGTTCTCAATTGCAACAGCCCTGGTAAACTCTACAGCTGAATAGCAGAGTAGATCATTCCAGTCCTGTCAAGACAATAATCCAACTTCACTAAATTTAGAATTTAAGAAAAATCTAACTGCCTTTCATACTTTACTGATAGATTGCCCCATAAAATATGCCTGGTATTACTTTAATGTTTAACTGCCGCTCAGAATAAGTCACGTCTACACAATAGGCTTATCATGTAACTCACTGTTATTTCATCTGATCAATCTTAGCTTTTGACATTTTATACTAAAGCAGTATAAAATGTTAAACGGAAGCTTTCTCGATCAATTAATCAAACTCCTGAAGAAAATTTTAAATTATTTTGCATAAATTCTTCTGTTTCAAGTTTCCATACTTAAAATTTTCAAACATTTACGAACAGTTTAATTTCAAATTGAAGCTTGCATGCACTTTTATTTATTTTTGCATTCTGTGAGTAATCGCGATGCAGTACACAAGGCATACAGAATAAAGCTTGACAGAATTTAATCTTTAAAATTACACAAATGGATCAACAAATGTTAAGCATCTCAAAACAAGAAAAAACAATGAAGCACTAGTCACAGAACAAACGCTTAAGTGATCAAACATTTGGAGTAATAAAAGACACTCAACTTTCAATAGATTAATTTTCATAAAAATGTGTTTTTGAAAAATATCTGATAACCTATTAAAAGTTGAACCGGCCAAAAATAAAAAAAACTATGAAATATTTTAAATTGTTCAACCTCATCTATTTACATAATATAGAAATGTTCACATTTTAATAAGTCACATTGCTAATTTCACAGAAGAACAAATGTTACTATCCTGTTTCCCAGCTACTTCAGTCCCAGTTGACTTTAAACAAACTGTCATAAACTTTACGTGGCTGCATGTTCAAAGTCTTTTTGAAGTGTGCGAAGGTTACTTCTTAGCACAGTATGATACATGATAAAATCAGCATTAGTCCAAATCTCTGATCATACTGAGAAATGATTGTTTCTTCTTGATCTCTTGCTAAGATAATCAGTTTCTTTTCTGATGCAAATCAGGCACTAACAATACTGTTTTTAGTAAGTTTCTCCTTTATATTCAAACTTTGTGAGTTTGACAGCAATTGCAATAGAAAATTTACAACATTATGTTAAGTTCCCCACTAATGCCCCAGGCACAAATCCTCCTGGGAACTTTCCCCACAGACTATTCTCCTTTTCAATTCACACCCATTGTGTGCACATCTAAATTCTCAATAGCTTTGGAAGCAAGGCGTTTCTGCGTTTCCTTTTCAATTTGCATTCACTGCAATTTTGTTGGTGATGAAAAGCCAAGGATCTCTGAATTAGTCTAGCATATTGCTCACAAGAGTTTCAATCTTAACACACAAAATTCAAAAATGGAGTGGAAAGTTATTCTAATTTTCCTTTATAAAACACTGGTTAGGCCTTAGCTATGTTCAGTTCTGGGCACCACACTTTAGGAAGGATGTCGTCGCATTGGAGAGGGTGCAAAGGAGATACCAGGAATAAGGGATTTCAGTTATCAGGAGAGCCTAGAAAAGCTAGGACTATTCTCCTTGGAGCACAGAAGGTTAAGAGGAGACTTAATAGAAGTTTTCAAAATTATGAGGGGATTCGATAGGGTGAACAAGGAAAAACTGTTTCCACTGGTGGGTGGGTCGGTACCCCGAGGACATCGACTTAAAATAGTTGTTAAAAGGAACAGAGGCAAGATGAGGAGAATTTTTTTATATACACACAGCGAGTTGTTCGGATCTGGAATGCATTGCCTGACAGAATGGTGGAAGACAATTCGATAACAGCTTTTAAGAGAGACGTAGAGAATTATTTGGGAGGATAAGTTTGTAGGGCTATGAGGGGGGTGGGGGGGGAGGCGAGGAATGGGATTGATTTGGATAGCTTTTCTCAAAGAGCTGTCACAGACATGATGGGCCAAATGGCCTCCTGTGCTATATAATTCTATGATTCTACTACGATAAGGGTGGAAATTTAACAATTTTGTTCTTGACAACTTTCATTTTAATATTTTCTAGATTTAAGACATATACAAAATGCCTTAATTCCAAGACTAAATTGAATTTCAATTCACGTTAAAGCAATCATGTAAATGCAAATAATGTTTAAAAGTTACAAATGAATCTTTTCAATTCGCCACACCAAAACAGCCACTCATCCTCCCAATGATCCAAAAACAGATCCATCTGATCCTGCACATTGCCAACGGGCCAAAATCATTACTTCTGAAACCACCTTATTTATATTATTTGTTTGTTATTGGGTTTAGAGTCAACTGTGGTAGCAACCAATCAATATGAAAAACATGGTGAGCTCAGTATATGATTTTAGAATGATTTGGTGAATTAAAAGTTATGCACTCACTGTCTATTCTACACAGGTCATTCACCTACAAATACAGTCACTACACTTTACAGTAAATCCATTTTACAGTGAACCACTTTGAGAGGTACTCCTATGTGAAAGGTGCAACATCAAATCCAAATGCAAGGATTAGTATTCTTAGAATATTCCCATTTTAGATCCTTCATTTCCAGAAAATAATGGCTGCTTTACAGAGCAGTTTAAATCAATGTTGTTAATTTAGATGGTGTTATCTATATTGCTTATTTCACTTTTCTTTTAGAAATGTTAAATCTGAAATTTAAGATTCTAGTCATTGAGTAGAGATCAGCCTTCACAACTTCCAAAATACATGTTAATGTTTTCCCCATATTACTAAGGCTAACTGTCTTGAATATGGTTATCATTGAAAGTTATGGAGACTGCTCTCTTTTAACATTATAAAATACACGACAACCGCTGAAGATACAATCAATCTTCCACGTTTTAATCTTCATAGCAAAATTCGCCCATAATACTCAAAAGCTGTAATACAATGTTTTGCTACTCCTTTCAAACAGAGAAGAAATTACATTTGTTATAACAAATAATTCTCGGTTGTATTCTTAATACAAAACCCCCACAATTTTTTGAAAGCTTTTTTTAAGAAAGTGGCACTGATTCACTTCATCTCATTAAAATCAAGTCCATACTCTGTACCCCAACAAAGCTTTAAACAGATAATAGGGAATACGTAACTAAATGTTATTAATTGACAACTACATTAATTAAAACACAATGAATGAAGTTAGTACACTTACGACTTAGAAGACCAATTAAATAAACACTGTTCTGCCAGTGAAGCAGGGCAAGTCTACAAAACTGAAAGAAAATAACTTAAGACCTTTGAGATGGTCTCAAATCTGTTAAATGTTATTCTTGACAAGAACAGCATTTCATTTTTGTGGGTACACCTAAATTTGTTCACCAGGCATTAGGACATTGTGGATGCTGCGGGCAGAAAAAAGGGGGCGGGCATGTTGCCAGTCAGCATCTCCGGGCAACAGGCGAGTGAATGAGAACCACGTCGCAATGACAATGAGTAGAACAATATCTGAAAAATCCATCGCTATTCAACACACTGAGCCGCCTAATTACCTAGTTAGGGGATTACCACTCCAAAGAGTTCGTCGGGCACAGCCAACACGAAGCCAACCAGGACAAACTGTAAAAGCTGACACCACAGAGCAAAAACAAAGCTTAGCCAACCCACTCCATTGACAACATAGCCTTGCCACCAGTCATTTACAAGGACTTCAATTGGTGAATCCTAAAAAAGCTACATACAATCTGAATTTAAGCAATATGAAGCCTCTCACATTATTTTAAAAATTAAAAGTTAATTTCAATAAATTAAGTTGCCAATAACGCAAGCACCCAAATCGGGGCTCGTTGGTTTCTCAAAACCGTTGTCAACGGTTCTGACAGTTTAACCATCAATAAATACTCCAGGAAGAAAGATGCGGGAGACGAAACTCGTTTTATAAGCAAACTGGTATCTTTTCAGACCACTTAAATATCTGTTTACTTTTCCAGCATTGCAGAAATTTATGTTTTTAGACCACCTGTCTGTCTCACAAAATGCCAACCACTTAGGAAAANGTAAGTCTCGTCTCCGGGACCTAAAAATAAGAAGCACTCTGTACTCTCTTCCTCCGTACTTTTATTTTTGCAGCAGTCGCGGTAACTATTCTAAGCCAAATCCAAATAATCTCATAACAGTTACAGTTCCTGTAACAGATCTCAATCTTTAACACTTTCGTTTATCTTCATTCACACACGGACATAAAGGGAAACGACTACGTTTCTTACTTTCACTGCCAATTCATTTATATTCCTTTCCATTATCTATCTATATATATATATATACAAACACACATCTATCTATCTATATATATATATACTTATATATAGGTAATGTTTAAATTAGTTTCGGGGAGACAATCCATTGGATTGCAATACAAAACTGTTAGCGTTCTTCAACGCACAAGCAGTTCAGTAATAGACGAACACAATCCGTTACAAGAACGTGATTGCACTATTAGAAGTAATGGCACTTCGACACATTCCTGAAAAACTGACATTAATCAAAACGTCTCTGCATAAGCCAATACTGAAAGGCAGAAACGCAAATGGGGGTTACACAGCTCACCTTCAACCATAGCTATAACTCCATACTTTGCAAAGGTTACTTACATCACTGTTTTTTTAAAAAAAATTGGGTAGAAATAGCGAGGTACCGTTTACATTTAAATTAAACCGGCTCGGTTTTAAGCAGTCGGTGCACGGGATTTCGGTGTGTCAGCACACGGCTGCGCAAGATGAGGGCGATCTGCAATTTAAAAGCGGCTGTAAAAAGCCACTGTGCTCAGGCAGTACAGTACAGTGAGTTGGTGGTGGACTGTTCCCGTGCTGACAGAAGCACTCTCCCTCCCTCCCTCTCTCCCACACCCTCACCCCCGCCAGGAGCAGACTCCCCCCCACCACCACCACCTTCGGGGGGGGGGTACTTACAGGTAGACGACCCAGGCAGGCAGCTGCTGAGGGATCCGAGTCCAGGCCTGCCTGCTGCAGTCCAGCATTTCTTCGCTGCAAGTACAGCCCAGGACGCAAGGGAAGTCGGGGGCCACGGGTGGAAGAAGGCCACCGGCAGCCGAGCCCGTGCACGGCCTCGGGCCCGAGAGCGGCAGCACCAAGAGCAGCGCCGGGAGCCAGAGCCGGAGCCGGAGCTGCAGCCCGAGCGCCGCCATCTTGGATCCCGCTCGGTCTACAATAATTATTATGATCGTCGTTATTTCGGGGGAATTGTTTTATAAATATAAATAGGTAAATATATATATATATGGAGAATGGTGATATATATATATATATTTAAAAAAAGAGGCGAGCGACAATTTTTTTGGGGTAAAAATAAAATCTACGAACCAAAGGGCAACCGCAACAACGACGGCAAACAAATACAACTTTTAAGTTTGGTCGGGAGTCCTGGTCAGGGGGAGAGGGGGAGAGGGAGGGAAGGGGGGAATGTGTATATGTGTGAGAAAAGGCCGAGAGAGCGAAGTACCCGTACCTCTCGCTGTCTCTCTCTCTCACACACACACACACACTCGCTGACTGACTGACTGACTTGCCTCACTCACTCACTCACTCGCAGGCGGTGTGAATCTCGCTCTCGCTGACTGACTGTCTGTCTGACTGACTCCCTCTCTCTCTCTCTCTCTGTCGCTCGCGGGATATTATGAACGGCCGCAGCTCGCGCCCCCCACTCCCTCAGCCCCACGTTGGATGCAGCAGAAGCCGCAGCAGCAGCAGCAGCATTGCCCTCTCTCCCTCACACCCCGTCCACCGCTCTCCTGATTGGCCCGCTCCTGGCCCCACGTGGACAAACATTTGGCCGCTCCGTGTCCGCCATTGGTCGGACGGCCTGTCAATCAGATCCCCCCTCCCCTCCCGGCTGGGGAAGGCGGGGTTTCCGCTCGCCCCGCCTCCGCTGTTCCCGGGCGTGAAAAGCCTCGCACTTCTCTCACCTCCTTTAACCCTGTGCCTGCAGCGCCTTAAAGGGGCAATGCCCAGAGGGCAGCTTTATTTTACATGGGGACAGAAATTCCTCCTGGGTCGACATTTTTACTCTGTTCTCGCTTAACACACGCGTCCCCCCGTCCCCCCCACATCGGGAGTTTGTATAATTCAGCTGATTCTCAAAGGCGTTCTTGACTTCGAAGCCGTATTTGTTTTAAAAAAAGAAAACTGCAGAAAAGCGACTGGGATTCAGCAATTTGCCCAAATTCTGCAAATGCTAAGAAAATAGAATATACCCAGATCCAGGTGGGACTTCAGCCTCCAATATTCTTTGATGCCATATATTCTTTTAAAAGCTATTCTGTGCTTTTTTTTCCCATGTGCACAGACAAATCATTTGGTGGAAACCACAGAAGACACAATAATTTTCACAAGTGCAAAGCTTTATTCCACAGGGTGTTTTTAACATTACAACTCTACCACCTAACTATTGTATAAAGTTAAAGACCAGCAAAGGCAAGTGGATCTCAAGCTCCATCCACACTGTTCCACTGCTGTTTTTCACCGTTGATGATAAAATCCACAAACTCTGAATTTAAACGCAAAACTGAAAATTGATCCAATAAAACAATAACTTTTTTGTTCACTCACAGTTTAAAGTTGGCTTATTAATTCATGTATTTTGCACTCACAGATGGTGCTTCGGGTATTTGAATTATTGATGGGGTTTTTTTAAAAGAAAGAGACGTTGGATTATCATTTCAAACAAATATAATACAGCGATCGAGGTATTCAAAGCAGCAAAATGTTTATTACGATGCTAACAACAGGATGAGTTCACAAGAAAAAAACAGCGATCTTGCGTTGTGTTAATGTAGGGTTGTAATATTACAATAGCATTACAATAATATTTCATTTCTTGACATTATTTGTTTCAGCAAAACTGGAAAAATAACTTGTTACACAAGTACATGCATAAAAATCAAAGGACTTTCAGGAACATCACACACAGCTTTTGATAGAAAGAGAGAGACAAATCTTGTCTGAAGCTCACTTTCAACTCTAACTGTCTTAAACGGAAGAATTAATTAATTGTAATTAAGATAAACTCTGATTACATCTGATTCTCGACTGTGTATCATCTCGATACAAGATAGGAAAATAAAATTTGCATAAGAAAATAAACGTGCTCTGATAATCTAAGGATAGATGGAACTGCGATACAGTATTTTGCTAAATATAATATGCAAAGGCAACACTTTTTGGGAATGGGTGTTTTAATGTATTCATTCTGTTTTTTAAATGATTGATCATGTAGCCGAGAGGGTTTCGGGTTCAGTCTGTCGGTACCGTATATCCTGAATTTACGGGTGGCAATGTTTAGGTTTGGAACAGAAAGTAAAAGCAATGCACCAGACGAGCTTTTAGATGGTAAGTCAGAGTCAAGTCATTAACCTCCTCACTGATGGAGTGCAGTGCAGTGATGCCGATTAGTTTGAGGACACCGCAAAATACAATGAAGTATCAGGATCACAATCCCAATAATACAGTGATCAGCAGCCAGGTGAGTGACAGACAGACAGACAGACAGAGAGCGAGAGACAGAGAGACAGGTAGATAGAGAGACAGAGAGAGAGAGAGAGAGACAGACAGACAGACAGACAGAGAGCGAGAGACAGAGACAGGTAGATAGAGAGACAGAGAGAGAGAGAGAGACAGACAGACAGACAGACAGAGAGGCAGACAGACAGACAGAGAGCGAGAGACAGAGAGACAGGTAGATAGAGAGACAGAGAGAGAGAGAGAGAGACAGACAGACAGACAGACAGAGAGCGAGAGACAGAGAGACAGGTAGATAGAGAGACAGAGAGAGAGAGAGAGAGAGAGACAGACAGACAGACAGACAGACAGACAGACAGACAGACAGACAGACAGACAGACAGACAGAGAGAGAGAGAGAGACAGAGAGACAGAGAGAGAGGTAGATAGAGAGACAGACAGACAGACAGACAGACAGACAGATAGATAGATAGATAGATAGATAGATAGATAGATAGATAGATAGATAGATAGATAGATATCCAGTGCTTTGCGATTGTAAAGTGGGTTGAAAGTATAATTGCTGTAAACGCTGTTGGTCTCTGTCGCTGCACAGCGTTTGCACTGATCACCAGAGCCGCTCCTGTGTGAGGGGTTACGAGCAATGAAGTGAAACCGATGCCCTGTTGGACTTGGCGTTGTTTCCTGACCTGTAGGTCCAATTCAGGGGGAAATTGGTGTCCTCTTTTGAATCGGTTCAAAAAGCCCGAGTTATCGATCAGCAATTGACAAACAGTGCACATTGCTTTTTTTCTATTTATTTATGTACTGAGCAGCAGCAGCAAAAGTTTTATGAAGTCAAACTGAACATTACATTGAGAAATACTGTGTCCTGGAAAAAAAAACCAATTCCCTCTCTTCCTGTTGTCTGATCACACTGCAGCGAATTGTTTTTAAGGTTTTTTTTTATTTAATAAAAAAAAGAGGGCTTTCAAGATCCCCAAAAGTACAATTGTTCCACTGCAACATTGAAACCATCGTCTCTCTTTGAAATGAAATATCGATTTTGTAAAAAAATTGAAATCGGAATTTCTACATTGGAGTCAAATGTGGGATTGGAATAAGTCATCACGTTACTCTCTTCCTAACCATAAACAGAGAAACTTTGGGGTCGATCTACTGTGCAACTCCCTCCACCCCCATCACTGTTCCCTGTTTGAAACCCACCAACTGGATTTTAAGGTTAATATTATACATGGTCTGAAATGTTGGATTTTTATTGGTTGTGTGTATGTGTGTGTGTGTGTGTGGGGGGGGGGGGTGAGGGGTGGGGGGGTTTAATTCACTTTCAGAGTCGTTAAAGGAAGCAATGTTAATATTTACTGTACCAGTGTTTGCTTTGAAATGCAGGACTGGTTTTCCAAACAAAAGTGGATGTTTGATTCAATCAGAAGATTTCAAAGGAACAACTAAACGATTCTATATAGCCTTCGGAACCGCTCTATATCATTGCATACTATTTAACCTCATTCCTATTTTGGAGCTTTCAGTATAAATTAATAAATAACAATCCTTGCATTTGATATAGAGCCTTATCATGCCATTGGGATGTCTCAAAGCGCTTCACAGAATATACTGTAAAGTGGATTGACTGTATATCTTGTGGGCAAAATAGTATCTAGTCAGAGAGAAAATGCACCTCTCACGATCTGGAAGTGCAAACAATACAAACTGCATACTGAAACAATACGATTATTTATCTATGGTGCAAATACCTTTATTTTAAAGTCAAAAGTATTTTTAGATAAACGTAACATAAATACAATAATAATCCTTGCATTTGATATAGCACTTTTCACGTTTTCTAGATGTCTCAAAGCGCTTCACAGAATATACTGTAAAGTGAATTGAATGTATATTTGTGGACAAAATGTGGCAGCCAATTACACACAGCAGTGTCCCACAAACAGTCGTGGATTGAAGTGACTAATTTTATTATTTTTTTCTTGAGAGATTTTTATCAGGCATGTGGAGTAAGAAACTTGGCCAAGATTTCACCCTGCTGGGAATCAAACCCACGTCTCTCGCTTGTGAGGCGAGTGCTCTAACCACTGAGCTATTGGACTCTTACATGTTATATGGTGATATCTATAACCATAATGCTCATTAAGATTTTCAAAATCTTACGATTGATAAAGACCTTCACAATGCATTGGTTTTACACTCTTGGGGAATGTGTTTTTTTCCTCTGATGGAGTAATAACATCCAATCTAATTTGTACCTGAATTATTTCATATCAATAACAATACTCTCTAGAAGTGTGAAAGACTGATTTGTGCTTTTGGCTGCTGAATAATTGTAAAGATTAGGTTCATACATGTTTTTTTAAAAAAGTTCCAAATCGTAGTGCTACAAATAAGTCAAGAAATGAAATGCCTGAAAAAATGACAAGATCTATAGACAAATATTTGTACAAAACTATTTGGAAAATCATTTCCCTATTGGTTTTAAACTACTGTGCTGTGTGGTTTAAGAAATTACTAGATTTAGGGATTAGTTTGTTAATGAATATGTTTGCTTATTATTTAAACATAGCTAGCCTCAGGCACTTTCAGATCAGATTATGGTACGGGTTTGCACTTCAGGGCTCCCTCTAGACCACTCAGCCCGGGCATATAGTTCAGAGCTCCCTCTAGATTGTCCACATGGACATGCAGTTGAAGGTTCTTTCTGAAATACCCCAAACTGGTATTCAGATGCCAGATTTTTATCAGCTCAAGGGAATTGAATTTTCCAAGAGTGGCTTAACTCCAAGCCCTGAAAAGGACCTTTTTACAACATAAGGATGACCTTTGCATTTCCCACAGTTTCCAGGAGTATTTTTTGCTAAGAGGAAATAAATGTTTTTACAAGATTGGGCAATTAAACAGAGTGTTGCTGCCAATTGTTTTTGTAGCTATTCTCAGGAGTGCTGAGGGTCACTTTGATTATCAGTGTCAAATCAGTTGGATTTGACGCTCATGGTTTCTGTTCAATCAGATAAAGTAGTGTCCTTAGAAAATCGAACCTCTCTTTCCTTAAGGTGAGTTAACACATTTTTCGAGAACCTGTGTCACTGGGATTGTTTCAGCTTGCTGAAGCAACAAAATGGAAAAGTTCAAATTTCACACAAAATTCAGTTTTAGTGGAGAAGGCTTGTTTTTGAGAAAATATTTTGCTTGGCTCTCAGTGCAAGAAACATGCTCAAATGGGGCAGGAAGTTACAGATAGAATTAATGTATTTTTTAACAAGTAAGAGAGATGGTTTTTATTTTCAATAAAAGATATTGATTCAGACCTGAAATCTGACATAGGTGACAAAAAAATCAATTTTGGGCAGTAATCTATTGTGAAAGATATGAAAAAGTACGCATTTATCAATAAGGTAACTGACCAAGGTCAAAATGCTCACAGTGATACAGACTCGTTGACCTGAGAACATTTGCTCTTGATCTACAGCTGGTCCTTTAAGTGTTTTGGAACGTGAACTTAAAAGCGGTTTGACTGATTATTTATGCCTCTGACTCGATAAAAATGTTCTGCTTTTGACTGTACAAATTGATGGTACCAATATATAATAGCATTTGTTCAGGTATTGCTTGATAGTGCAGGAACTCTCCCTATGTGAATAACTAAAAACATCTAGATATGTACAAACCTGTAAATTTGACTACAAATACCCAGTCACTACACTTTACAGTAAAATCCTATGAAACACTTTGAAATGTCTCAACAACATGATGAAGCACTACATTAAACGCTAGGATTATTATCATTGCTATTAACCCAACAATACAGCCATTTTAAACAGAACCTAACTAAATTTATGTATTTTTAAACAAATATGGATTAACAATTAAAGTATTGCAAATCTTTCATAGGACAGGAATATACTTGTGTATTACTGATCACAGATTCTATTAGAATCTAAGGTGTAGGTGTCATCAAGAAATGCAACAGTAAATACCAGGAGTTTCTCCTCAATCATTTCAACACTATGCAAACCCTTTTCTTTAACAACAGCACATCCACTTACAGATGTGAGGCCAATTGGCTTCCTATCAGCCGACGTTCCCATTTATTACATACAGCACAAAACAGGCAAACCTCCATCATTTTTACAAAAAAACTAGAATTACAGGTCACCCATCATTTTTGAATATTATTCAAATGATTTAGGATGACATTTACAGAATTATTAGCTTTTCAGATTTTTTATCTGTACCATGGGCCTTCATCTAGGTCTCTCAGTTACATTTGTTCCTATCCCATGGTGACTTAGCTCTGTCACAGGTTAATTTTGTCAGATAATCTTCAAGCTCCATAGAGGTCTTGTCTGAACCCTGATTTTCTTTAATTCTCTACCCTTGTGTTGGCCCGTCCGTCCACTACAGCAACAAACAACTTGCATTGATATAGTGCTCTTACATAGGATAACATCATGGAGAGCTTCACTTTGACGAGCAAGAGAGATTGGAAAGGAAGAGAGGAAGGGGGTGATATCATAACCATAGCTGTTGTTAAAGAGCTAGATTTTTAGGTTAGATTTAGAGACAAACAGAGAGAGAGGATGAGACAAGAGGCAGAGATAGTGAAGGATTGAGATGGAAGGATTACTAGGTATGAGACATTCACTACCAGTCCATAGCTTTAGATAAATTTGAGATCTTGTAACCTTTAGTCCAAATATTTTTACTCTTCGTTTCTTTCTATTATCTTATCTCAACTTTTAGGTTCTCATTTGCATTACACCATTCTCAGCCAATAGAAAAAACATCCAGCTGATGTACCAACTGATCAGAATGGTTAAAATCTTGTTTACAATGTGTGGAAGAGCCCTGGTTTGTTTCTTTCCCTATCATTTGGTCTATTTCTTCATTACTGTTTGACTGTAGTACATTTTCTGCGTATATCTTTGAAAAACAGATGGCTAATAGTGAGTTTCAAGGCAGTAATTCAATTGAATGGTCCTGATGACATCATAACCCTGAGAGCATAGTTTGAGTGTTTTGTAAATGTCAGCAGAACCCTGGAACTGAATTACTGCCTTGAACTTATAGCCAACTATTTGTTATTCTTTATAATGTCAAATGAATAGCTTATTTTTTAAGATAAATACAGTAATGTGGTGGTCAGAGGCAGCAGGAATATAGGTAAGATTGTAATAGTAAATGCATTGTCCAGTGCCCAAACATGTAGGGTAGTCACATGAGGTATGGGATCACATAGATACTAAATGTGGACAAGACAGAAGCCATACTCCTTGGCTCCCATCAACGTCTTCACTCCTGCGGATCTGAACTCTTCAACCTCTCCGGACTCTCCCTCAAACTCACCGAAGTAGTGCGCAATCTAGGCATCCGGTTCGACACCCAGCTGTCCTTTCTTCCCCACATTGGGTCCCTGACCAGGGCTGCCTTCCTCCACATCTGCCACCTTGCCTGCCTCCGACCATACCTTACCCCAAATGCAGCCGAAACCCTCGTGCATGTGTTTGTCATCTCCCACCTGGATTACTCAAATGCACTCCTTGCTGGTGTTCCCAACTCTGAACCCCCATCTCACCACTTCTGGCCAGGCTCCACTGGCTCCCCATCACCAAACACATCGACTTCAAGATCCTCGCACTCGTGTTCAAATCCATTCAACTAAACTACAGCTACAGCCCTTCACTCCCTGGCACCTCCCTACCTCTCTGACCTCCTCACTCCTCAATCCAATACTTGTCGCCTCCACTCGACCGGACCAGCTTGTCGCTCACTCCCTCTGCTCCACCATTGGAGTTCGCACATTCAGCCACTACGCCTGAAACTCTGGAACACTCTCCCTCAATCCCTCTGCTTTGCCCCTCCCTCCCCTTTTTCAAGTTCTGCCTGAAAACCTTCATTTTCAACAATGCTTACTGTCACCTCCCCGCCCCCCAAACCCCCCCGGCTCGGAGTCAGGCTCCGTTAAGCACTATTAAGTGCTCTGAGACGCTACCCTGCATGGAGGGCACACTATATGTGCAAATTGTTGTTGCTGTATACATCATTGAGGACTCCCCCATGTAATGGGGACCAAACTTAAATTCAGATTCAGAGAGAACAAATTGCAAATGCTTCTATTTTGGCTCTGCTGTTTTATCCTGTGCACTTTTAATCCACTATTATATACCTGATACATTCCAGAAGTTCGACAGATGGACGAGGAGACAGAGATGAGAACACAAGGGAAGAGTGGGTAGCAAAGAAAAGAAAGCGCAGTAAAGTAGAGGGAAGAAGTACAAAGTTAAATCGAAAGAAAAGAAAAAATCAAGTTAAAGAAAGAGTAAATGAAATAGCAAAACAAGGAAAAGAGAAACTCACAATATCAATGCAATACAATTTAATTTTGTATAGCACCTTTTATTTCGCAATGATGTCTAAAAGCATTTCCCAAGATCACAAGATTGGTTTGGTTGGGAAAAGTCCTTTGGTCCATATGATAATAGTAATAATAATAATACTTGCATTTGATATGGTGCTTTTCACCTCTTCTAGACGTCTCAAAGCGCTTCACAGAGTATACTGTAAAGTGAATTGATTGTATGTTTGTGGGCAAAACATGGCAGCCAATTGCGCATAGCAATGTCCTACAAACAGTCATGGATTGAAGTGACCAATTTATTATTGTTTTTTTTTCTTGAGGGATTATTATCAGGCGTGTGGAGTCAGGAAACTTCCCAAGGTTTTGCCCTGCCGGGAATCGAACCCAGGTCTCGGTCTCTAACCACTGAGCTACAGGAATCCACTATGATCTTATTCTTCCCCAACCTACAGCCTTCCATCACAGCATCAAGCTGTTTTTTTTAAAAAAATGAGTCCAGCTCAAAGAAAAAAGCAAACTAACTTAACCCTTAAGAGTTCTAGCAGATCTAATGGAGACTTAATAGCTCTGTATATTCAGTATATAATTATTTCTATTTGGTGACAGATGAATGATTTTATTTTGTTTAATGCTTATGCAATGCATTTCTATTAGATGTTGATAGTCCATTTGTCGGGAGCTATGACGGTCAAGGGAGCATCTCACGATTGAAGCCGAAATAGTGTTAGCTCATGTTTATGAGGGAGAAGGAAGCATGTATCACTAGTTTGATGTTGTACAAGTGATCTTATTTTGCAGTTGAAAATAATACCAGCTTGTGATGCTATCTGACTCTGAGTTACCACAGTCATAGCAAAAATGTTGGAATTCAAAACTTTGAATGGACATTGAACGACTTTGATTTAAGAAGTAATCTAACCATTTAATTTCTCCTGAGACAACACCCACATTTAGTCATGGATGTTAAAAACGAAAAAAGGAACCATTTTTNGAGATTGTTATATACACTGTCAAATCAATTGATTGAATTGGCCTTAATATAATTCTATTCAAAATAGATTTTAAGTGTGGGGAAAAAAAATTAAAGAATTTAACCATTCAAGATGTTGAGTTTGGTTATGTTTTCTGGCTGAAAAAAAGCAGAGCTCTTAGCTGAAGGGACAGGCAACAATGCGTTGCAATACAGAACCCAGTTGTTAAGATAAATCATACCTTTTTAATGACTGGTACCAGGTGGTCATTATTAGTTAGCTATATAAATAATGATTAAAAAACACCAATTTAGAGAATTCAGTCCCACTACAGTTGATCTTTGTTTATGATGAGAATCTACAAATACAGTCAGAAAAGATTATTGTGTATTTGGAATCAGGGTTTCTCCCATACAGTCTTCCTGATTGAGATTGCCCAATTAGTTACAATTATTTAAACTGAAGTTCTGGATTTAAACCTATTGGGAACTGGATGAAGACTACTCAGCTGTGTTGTGCTAAGTACTCTTTCAGAGCAGAAATGATTGGACCCAAACCCACCATGTCTGGTGCTCAACTGATTGAGCTGCCTGGGATGTAAGTTGTAGCATTGCCATTATATGTACATTGTCTGTCAGATATTCCTATCCTGCCCACATTCCGTGCGATCATCACTCCGTGGGGTCATCCACAAGGAACATAGGAACAGGAGTAGGCCATTCAGACTTTTGAGGCTGTTCCACCATTTAATTAAATCATGGCTGATCTGTACCTTAACTAATCCTCAAGGAATTGCAAGACATCGCGCTCAAATCCTCCCTTGAATTGTTTCAGTTGCTGTTGTACTCCCTGCAATTCCAACACTCTAGACTGTCGTCACAGACTTTTCTAATATTACTTTTCAATTGCTCTTGGACGAGAAATGCTCGTTAATGCAGATGTACCTTCATTGCCTGGTACAATTTTATTGCTGCTTTTTAAAAAAGATTTCTCACACTCAGCACTTAAATACTGCTGGGCATTCACTCAATTTCATTTGTTTTTTGTTAAATTTCTTTACAAACAAATATTTTTCATGGAAGAAGGAATGTCAGCACTCTTGCACTTCAAAATACAGTGACACTTTCTGCTAGCCTTCTTTCTGCATGTATTAAATGTACACAGTATATACTTCTCAAGATGTGTGGAGTTTATAGACCACATAAATGTCTTTATTTGTTGGTCTGCTAGGCCTGTTAGTTTACAGCACCTTAGGCTATTCTAGGTTCACTTTTTTTTTGGTACAGCTCATTGCAACTCATTACTGTATTAGTGGCGTAATGCTTTTTTGATAACACATAATTCATTCCAAATGGACATGCAAAGTTGATGCTAGTATCTTAATGGCACTCACATGTGTTCCTATTTTAAACGTTTAGTGGTTGATTTTACTTCTGCATACTGTTCTGTCCATTGACAAAATAATTCTCTCCTCTGCAGTATGTTACGGGGAAGTGAGATAGCTGATGAAAGACTCCTTAAGGGAAGAAATCCGGATTCTTTATTCTATGATAGTTTTCTTCTGCACCAGGAGGTTAATTTCAAAGTCATCACCGGAACACTTTTCTATTAAGAATAATATTCTTATTACAGCACTTCATGGGCCAAGAGGAGACTATTGTTTAACTAGAGATGGGCGTACAGGTCTTTTCCGAAGTTCAGCAAGTCCAATCCATTTTGAAAGGATCACTATTTTAATACTAATAATAACACCTACATTTCATACAGAGCCTTTCATGTGGGGAGGACATCTCAAAACCCAGGAATTTAGTGTAAAGTGCAGTGACTGTATTTCATTGGCAATTTGAGCGCAGCATTATCCCACAAATAGCAATGAAATGAATAACCAGTTTTATCTGGGGATTGTTAGGTACAATGATAAAATATTCAATAGCTTCTGATAGTTCTCACACAGAGTTATTTGTATTGAATTTTACTACTTTAAAAAGCTTCTGTTTCATTTTTTTTGCAATATTGAAAATCAATCAAACTAGACTTAAAATGCTGATTTCTCCAATTTTAAACATTACATTGTTAAGCTTGTTTTGTCTAGATAAAAACTTTTTCATTTTCTATTATCTAATGTCATCATTTCATTTTCCCCAGGAGACCTAGGCATTTGAATTAAATCATACATTCCAATGTGATGCTGATCTGTAGCAATTGGATAAAGGTGAACTTGCTGGCCAGGTCTTTCATAAATATTAGGTACGATTGAGTTAAGCCTATGGGTCAGTGTATATTATATCCAGCTTAGTAAACTAATAGTCAGCCTTGACAGATTTCTGTTCTTTGGCAGAGTTTTACTGCTCATTTGCAATTGGTGCGGTTGATTTAGCTGCTGGTTGAATTATGAACATTAAACATTGGCTTTCAAAACTTACGTTTAGAATGACATTTGATCCAGGCATTTCTGCATTAAGAGTGGTCCAATGGGAATATATTGCTAATGTGAATTAGACAGACTGATTAAAAATCAGGCCAAATTTCCAGAGATGTTTTATATTGTTCCAATTGTGCCCTCGGGAATCTGCCAAACAAAAAACATAGAAATGTGCTGCTTTATTTATAGGATTTAATCTTAAAAGGATAGCCATGAATAGAAAGAAGTAATTCCAGTCTGAATAAATCAGTAATTGCTACATTGCTTCAAAAGTGTCCATGATTAAATTGAACTTGAAAACTCTGTTGTTCATTAGTTAGCACTAATGTTCTGAGAGTACCATACATTTAAATTTCATTTCCAAGGATTATTAAAGGACAATCCCAACATATTTGATATTGGAAGTCCTGTCGTGGAGTCCTGTAGCTCAGTGCTTAGAGCACTCACCTCGTAAGTGAAAGGACCTGGATTCAACCAGGACCAGGCAGGGCGAAACCTTAGGCAACTTTCCTTGCTCCACACGCCTGTTTACCTAGCAGTAAGTAGGAACCAGGTTGTTAGTAAATTGGTGGATCACTTTTCCGGGGATAATATTCCCTTCAAAATTAAAAAAAAATAATAATAATAAATTGGTCACTCAATCCACGACTGTTTGTCGCCCACAAAAATATACAGTCAATCCACTATAGAGAATATCCTATGAAGCACTTTGAGGCATCTCAAAGCTGTGATGAGACGCTATATCAAATGCAAGGATTATTATTATTACAGTCACCATCATGATTAATAATTACTATATTTACTTGTTTTCTCTTTGTAGCTGCATGAAAAGTAAATACAACCGGTGAAACAATGTGTGCTGTGAGTTTCTTTTTCAAGGTGAGGTTCTGTTTATTCTTAAATAAGTAACTAATACAAATAAGTGTTTACTCCCTCTGGGAGTAATCTGTTTATTTTAACTTGAGACTTTTGAAGACCAGTTGCATTTCTGGACCATCACAGAATCAATAAGATTGTCATCTCTGGATTTTATTTTGAACAAAGTCTTGAGACACTGTAATTCATTCAGTGCGATGTCAACATGTTAATCTGCAAGACACACCTATTCACTTATTGACATTCAATTTATTAATATGTCAACAGCAATACAGTAAGTTAATTCTTTAAATATTATTTTCTTTTCATTTTTAACAAGTTGGTTTCCACAATGTGGTGTAGGACATTATAACACGATTTACTAAAGCTATAGATAATATGTTAATTCAGAAGATAATTTAAGTATAAAACAGAAAAAAAAGCGTATGTTGGAGTAATTTTATTTGCAATGGCTATTTATGTAGGCAAACACAGCAGACACTTCTTTGCACAAACAACCATGACACGAATGACCAATTTATCTGGAGGATTTTGGTCAGAAATGTTCTTCTCTTTTTAAATACTACCATGGGATCTGTACTGTCCACCTGAAAAGGTAGGTGTGACCTCAGTTTGAAGTCTCATCTGAAAGATGGCACCTCCAGCAATGTAGAGCTCACCTAGTACTAAGACATAGCGTCAACTTAGACTGTGATCTTGAAATCCGATATTGGGCTTAAACTGACAACCTTGTGACCCAGAGGCAAGAGTATTACCAACTGAGCTAACTGACTCGCTGCCGTAATTAATTTTCCATTAAGTTTATGTAAATCTAATTAAAAACAAATATGTTGTCTTTGGAATCTATTGCTATGATAATTCAAAACAGATGCAAAAGATGTTGAGGGATTAAATTGTTTTCTTATCAGTGTGAATTTTGAATCTATTCTGAACAACTACCCTGTACTCTGGGGAATTTGAAGAGCATCAATTCCACTGACAATCTACCTTTAACCATTTCAATATTTAAGTTTGTATCTCCCCAAACTGTTTTCAATAATATAACAAGGAAATCCTATACAAAATTAGATATAAATTGCTCTAATAATCATTGCAATTTCTATTGTTAGGTAGCAATAAGTATGGGAAATATCCTAGATTTACAACAAATCATAGAGAATGCAGTTTGAAAAAGAAAACTTTTTTTTACAATACAGTGAATTATTGTATTTTTTTTCAAGATCATTTTCCTCAAAAGCAATTAAAATAGCATCTAGAAAATAGAATAATCTCTTAATTTGTTCCAAATCAGCTTTGCAGAGGTTATGAAATTCAGTATCAGTGATGTGGTACTAGATGTCTGATAGAATGTAGAAAGAACCTTGCAAGGTACATACAGTGCCAAGCTGAAAGAGATTTAACAATCTCCAGAATATGCTTTCAATACCCACTATCTTTTGCTTGTCTGAATCAAGTCCCATTGCATTAGTTGCTGCTGTTTCTATTAGCCTAAGTGATCTGCTGTGGGGTTTGCACTTGCTTGTTCAATGTCATTTATAGATCCCGTGCATTGTCAGTAAAAGAGGTCATGGGTTTTCAATCATTGACTTTATTTACACATTGATCAGTGGTAATTATACCCTTTCACCGTGCAGGTTACTTCAGAAACAGTTCATGCTTTCACTAAAATCTCTGGCAAACATTCAAAGGTTACCACTCTTTACTTCAGAGAGCGTAATTAGTGTGATTACAGTTCCCTCCTCTTTCACCAACATTTGTCTTCATTGAGGTGCTTTGTGATTATTGTGCTGAAAATGGAAACATCGTTTCGCTTGTTTTTGAAACTTTTTTTCACATGATAATTGGTGCAAGAAATTATGAAAGGTCGTCTTGATAAAGTATTATATTTAATCCATGAATCAAAGCATTGTGACACACTGGAAGCAGATGAAAGGAGGGCTGACTGACATTATGTGGAAGGTACAAAGCGCAGAGTTGAGATTTCCAAGCTGGTGTCTCCTATCTTCCTGAATCGCAGCTCAATTCGTCAAAATTCACCGGTTATCCATCATAAAGATCTGTCGGATTCTTCAAATGTAAAACAATGCAGCTGCTGGAGATATTGATCTATAATTAAAAGAAACCATAAATATGGAAGTATATTGTCACTTTGCTAAACAGTTAATTCTTGTTGGATCTGACCTGCAGTGCAATGGGGGAATAGACTATCTTCAGGACTTTGACAACTGTCACTTTGATCTATGCTCTGCAAGAGGCGATATTCTAGCCAAGCATTTTGTAGATTTAATGGTGGAATATAGAGAGGTAAATACTGCAACCCATGCTAAAATCCTAGCGAAACTTACAGGTCTTTGTTTTTCAGGTTACAGCAATTAAATTATCACCATAAAATCCTTCATTGTCCCTCATTAACTGGTACACTGTTGACAAGTGTGGCTTTACAATTGAATTCCATTGTTTCAGACTGCTTCAAGACTACTGGTCGATTTAAGGGAATCAAATTTTGGCGCAAACAGATTGGTGTAGAAGGGCCCAACATGGTTGATTGTTAGTAGGTACCATGGGATGCATTTTCCTATAACTTGAATATTGTTTTTCATTTTAGCCATTTCTGCTTTCAGTCATCAATTCCTTTGCCTTAGCCCAAAGTCAGTCAGTTCTGCATGTGGATGCTCACCTCTTATCAGATTTTCCTCTATGCTGAAACTGTTGTTCTCAAAGATTCACATTCTACACTTTTGCTCTGGTGTGCCATTGAGATGTGTAAATTGAAGGTGACACGGAGGAGCTGGGAATAGAGGCATTTCTAGGTCTAATAAGATAATTGGAAGAATGGAAAAAATATGGTCTATGGGCAATAGCTCACAATTACTAGCTTTTGTCAATCTTGGGGGATATTGCTTTCTCTTCCAACTCTTTTAGGAAAAGCTGGTTTGGGGCAAGACTAGCTCATTTGCTTTGACATAAAAGTACTCAAATGCTTGAACCCCAAGCTTCTCAAATCATATTTCTGGATATGGCAGAGTTATTATCAGATACTTTAAAAACGAATGCTTGGATCTTATGAGCAGATAAAGAACTTCCTCCAAAATATGTGCAGCAACTAGGCAGCAAATAATAATAATCCTTGCATTTGATATAGCGCCTTATCAAGTCTTCGAGATGTCTCAAAGCACTTCACAGAATATATTGTAAAGTGAATTGACTGTATATTTTGTGGGCAAAACGCAGCAGCCAATTGCACACAGCAGTGTCCTACAAACAGTTGTGGATTGAGTGACCAATTTATAATTATTATTTTTATTTTGAAGGAATTATTACCCCCGGAAAAGTGATTCATCAATCGACTAACAACCGGGTTCTTACTTACTGCTAGGTAAGCAGAGATATGTGGAGTGAGGAAAGTTGACCAACATTTCGCCCTGCCAGGAATCAAACCCAGGTCTTTTGCTTGCAAGACGAGTGCTCTAACCACTGAGTTCAGGACTCCATGGCTATGGCTATGTTGTGACCACTGTGGTGACTCCCTAGCTTGCCACGTGTTGGAACATTTTTTGGCAAGGGTGTGGGCCTGGCTTTACACAACAGCCAGTTTGATTGTTGTGGTACAGGCTCTTAGTTTCAATACTGTGATCACATTTGCTATGAAACTTCCCAGAAATTACAATATTGCATTTATCAACTGGCCAACATCTTGCAAGTGTCATAGACTGTGGTCTCTGCCTCTCACATGCCTCATATACTGTGGGATATTCCATTGTTCAGACCCTCACCTGCAGTTTTCAATAGTATAAAAGTCTGGCTGTTTGATTTCATCCCTGGAGAGTTGCTATGATTACAATCCTGTAATCTTAATCAGTGTAACCTTGCAAGCGAGAAGACCTGGGTTCAATTCCCAGGCAGGGCAAAACGTTGGGCAAATTTCCTTACTCCACACGCCTCTGTTTACCGAGCAGTAAGTAGTACCCAGTTGTTAATCCATTGAAAATTTCAAATTCCCTACCACTGATATTAGACCTTTGCATTTTATAAATGCAGAAGTGCTTCTACGTCTCAGCAATTCACCCCCTTTCTAATTGATGTATTGAGCAGCACAGAGATTCAAAGTCACTAAAAAGGATTTGTGAGCACAAAAAGCTTATGGGCCATGGCATGCAACAGCCTGTGCATGATATTTCAAGACTTTAAAACTAAAATATTGGAAAAACTGCCTTGAAAATTTGTAAATGAAACAAATAACCAGTCTTCATGCTTGAAATTTTTTTAAAAAAAGCCCCAGTGATAGCAAATCGGGAGACTAATGGTTCAACCAAGTCTCCTCTGTTCTCAGTGTTCCTCTGTCCTGGGTCTCAAACTGCCACTGACTACACTAAGGAATTGCAGTTCCGGTGCCAAGTTCTTTTCAATGCAATTCTTCCTCAATAGGAGGCCCAGATGCATTGTTGAAAGATACCCCCCAACTCCCTCTCAGTTTAGTCAATTGTGAATTAAGTGGGGTTTGTGATGGTGCTTCTTTATTATATATTTGTCTTCTTTTCACAAGTAAATCCAAAGGAATTGCTTCAATAAAAAAAAGCTTGACCAGTATTGTTTAAAGTTTTGAATACTTTTTTTAAAAAAATGAAGAGCTGCTAACAACCTTTAAACAATGATAAATTATCCTTGTGCGAAACATATATCTGAAATCACATAAAAGTGCCATTTAGTTACTGTAAACTATATCAACGCTTTTGCTTTTGCATACTTTTCCTTCTGCAACAGCTTTCCACCCATAATGAAATGCTACCAACGTAACTTTCATTCTGTTATACTGAAACATGGAAGACAAATGCAAGATCAACTGCTTAATGATGACTGCATTCTATTCTTTAATTTTTTAATTAACATTCATGAGTATAGCTTCATACACTGTTATTTTCACCCAGTGCCAAAATCACTCTGCAGTGGAGATGATGTTGATTTGCTGCCAGTGTTCGGCAAACTGCAACACGAAATGATTAATTAGCCTTATGAATAAAGACAATGGAACAATAAAGTCGAGCAGTAAACCATTTCATAAAGGGTAGGTTTGTGCAGCAGTCACAAAAAGACAGAAGTACTGTTTCTTTCTAATGTCTCATGCCTGCGGCAAAAACTAATGCTTGACCTAGATATTTTGCAAAACAAATCTTGCTTAATTAGATGGTTAATTTTTAAAAAATTGCAATAAATTAGAAAGTCCAGTCCAGGGCCCTACATCATACTGATTTACTGGAAATGCAGCCTTTTCCAGGAAAAGAGCCCATGTTTTTGCACTCTTCCCCCCACCCACCCCTCCCCTCCTCCTAGTGCAGACAAGTACTGCACACCTCGAATCATGTTCATCAATAGTGCAACACTCAGTACAGATTATTTCCCAGTCCTGTGTCCTAGGAACCATGTTCCATTCACAATCACCTTCTTTCTTCAATCATGAAGCCAGGTTTCGAACTGGTCCACTAAACCCATAAATCTGAATATTATATACTTTATGTGTGAAATTTTATCAAATGTGATTGAGAATCTAAGCAGATTACAACCACTAAATTGCCTTTTGATTGCCTTAATGTACAATTCATTGAGGGGGACAATCAAATGTCCACTTAATGAACTGTACATTAGTGAGATTAACATAAGATTTAACATGCACATTGATTGTTTCTTACAGCCCCAGTACTCTTTAGATGAACATTAGCAGCATTTTATATAATCATATTATACCGTAGGATTAGGACATTTGGCCCATCCAGGCTCAACTGGAGCTGGCTCATCCACTCCAACTATCAATTCGCTGCTCTTTCCCTGTACGCATTATATTCACATAAAATTCTCTACAACATTTTCCCGATTACTGATATCAGACTAGCTACACTATACAATAAATGCCTCATCGGGAAGAACAATTCCTGTCTTCTAATTGTGTAGCAGATATTTGTATGGAACGCCCAAAAATATGAATTAAACTCTCACTTATTTCCTGTCTCACTTCCTCCAGGTAAGGAAGTGCAAGTGATCAAGTGAATCAAGGCAAATTTGTGAATGCTTTGCTGCAACATTCGTTTATAATGAGAGTTTTCTTCCTGTCATATGAAAATATTCTTAAGGAACTGAGAAATAGTTGAAATTAGATCTATTTGAAGACATGCTACATTTTACAACATAATTAACCCTTGGTTCAACTTAGCAGGTAGGATGCTTTAGCCAAGTTTTCCTCTCTCCTCTCCCTATGACAAGGAGGTCATATGAGACAGGTAGAGCATTGGAGCACTGCTCTCAAGCATAGCACAAAACAACGAAGACATCTACATGATCACTATAATAAGATACCAGTGAAATTATTACTGGCTATCACAATTCAGTTTCTAGTAGCCGCCACAACATAAATTTTTCATCATTCACTGCAAAACGAAACAAGTAAAGAAACACTTGATTAATGAAACTGGAAGGAGAGGGAGAATCCGCAGGGGTCCTGGCTATCTAGGGGTAGATCTGAATGCAACCAGCTTACACTGGATTTGACCTGGAGTCTTTGATGCTGTCATCAAATGTCATTGTTGCCAATGACAAACACACACCTGTTAAAATCTAATCTCCTCAAGAGCTGCTACTCTCAATCCTTTAGGCTTTAAAGGAGAGATAGCTATTGAACTATTCTGCTTTGAAGCACACTGACTTCCACATGAAAATAACTACTCAACAGGTGTATGTGTCAGCAGGATATGTGTTAATGAGATTTGTCTATCCTGTTTTTAAACACGGGGATCCACTGCACATGATCCAGGTCCAAGTTGCGTTCAGTTATGCATGCCAACAGTGTTTTGCAGGTATTCACCTCAGAGGCACAAGTTTTAAGTGGCATTTTACACTAGCCATCCCCCTTGCTGGAAGCCCCACTGGTGATCGAATGGACTACAGCTGTCAAAATGTTGTTTTGTTTGTCTTTGAAACTGATATGACCTGGCTTCTAAATCACACCCAATGTACTGCATGCAGTTTCATCAAAGACGTAATGGAAATGTAACATTATTAACTAATGCTCTGAGAGTAATCCCCTCACATACACTATGATTAGTGAACGTTTGTTTTCATCTGCAGGGTTCATAAGTTGCCGCTCAGTCTGAGATGGTTGCAGAAGAGAAGACCAATTTATAGTGTTTGCCTATAACATCAGAATGAATGGCAAGGCCAACCTTTGCATGATGTATCAAGCAGGCTGATTGACTCTTAACCTAAAGAATTAATGAAGGCATGTTTCAAACTTTATTTTACACATTTTGCTCAGCTATTGTAGCATTCATATAACTTTTTAAGTCAGTTTAGACTTGAACTGGTTTACATCAATAAGGGATGCAGTTTGTTGTATATCATATCAGAGCAGGCATTAATTTTGAGTGAGAAATCTAGGTATATTACAAACTAAGTTTGTCAGGTTTGGGAGCCACACAGGATGGTCGGGGAGTTGCGGGGGGTGGGGGGGAGGGGTTAAAAGTCCATGAATGTAAGAGGAGGGGATATCAGAAAGGTAAAGGAGTTCACAGTTTTAAGATCCTGGAAAAGCAGGAGTTCACTGCACCATGTAAAACATGTTGTAGTCAGACGTGACAGCATTCAGGAGAAGGAATTTCAAAACAAAAGTTTAACACTTTTCTTCCTTTTTTTGTAGACTTATTTTCTGCTGGTTCTCCATCACATTAACCAACAGATTGAGGGAGTGGACAGGTGCTGTTCTTAGTACACTGTGAAAGCCACTGTGTCAGGAGGTGAGACTAATGTGAGAGCCTAAGTTTTCACAAGATCAAAAGATCATTTCAGATGTAGAAGGCCTTTCGGTCCAATTGATTTCATCCTTACAGAATAATTACCCACTGTCCTCCCATTAAAACATCAAAAAGCTGTCTTTCACATGTGTCCAGCACTCTGGCCTCCTGTTCTAATCATTAATTACTCTCTGGGTCAAGAAATATTTCCTGCTGTCCGTCCTGAAATTATGCTTTACAACTGTAAACACGTGTCCGCTTGTTCTCCTGTCTCAGCACATACGAAAGCATTGTTCTGAGCTTTAAGGTCTATCTCAAGACCTTTCTTTTTAACTGCACCTTTTGTCATCTCCCCCACAACCAGCCCCCTCATGCTTCTCAAATCCAGCTCCAGTTCAGGTGCAAATCCTCGGCTATCCAACACCTCCAACGTGAAAGGTACTATAAAAATGCAATTTTGTTGTTGCTGTTGTTTGTCTGGGTTTCCTTTTTCGATCATATTTAAAATTTCATATACCTCAATGTAGTCACTTCTAAGATGTCTCCTTTTAAGACTGAAGAACCTTAACTAGTCTAATCACTACTCATACGTCATTCCTCTACAACCTTGTATCATCCTCATTGATGTTCTCTGCACTACCTCTATGCCATGGGCAGCTCATTTATGTCACAGTGACCAGAACTGTGTGCAGTCCTCTAGGTATGGCTTAACCAGATAACTATGCAGCTTGAGTTTGATTTCTGGGGATCTTGCAACCGATTTGACAATATAGCCCAGAATCCTGTCTTTGATTGCTTTTCTCTCTCTTAATCACGGAGGTCTTGTCTGTGACCCTCCCAGGTGGCCTGACTGAGATTGAGGAATCACTTGGTGGGATTGTGAGCAGTAATAAGTCTGAGTTCTGCATTGATATTTGATGAGATTCATGAACAAGTTGTACTTCGGGGTTAGAGGAAGGATGAGTTATTGCAGATGTGGCTGTCACAACCTGTCTTGCACAACTGGTTTGGGACTACTGAGGTTCATTGAATAGTATTATCTCACAGTGATTGGGATTTGGGGCGAGAGACAAATAGTGCTCAATCATTTATCTGAAATTGTGGTCAAAATGTTTAACTGTAAAGAATTTGAACCAAATCAAACACAGTGCAAACCGTGTACTCATGACAAAATTCATAAATCATATTGAAGTATATTAAATTGACACTTTCTGTAAAATTATATACATTACCGAAGGGAGTATTAAAATGAATAGATCAATTTGGAACTCCAAGATGTGACACATAGCTAACTTTGATAGATTGCATGTTATGATTCAGAAGCATATGAAAGACGCAATTCATAGCTGGTTATAATAACTCCCTTCCTTTCCCACAGAAGACGCAGTTTCCCGATTTAAATCCCATCTTCCACTTTATTCACCCAGTCGCTCAGTGATCGAGCTCTCACTGAGGGTGAAAGAGCTTCCTCTGCAGCTGGCAACAGCTTGTGACTTAGCCTTTCAACTCAATAAACTGCTCCACAGAGTGAGAACAGTGCAACACTACTGGCTGCGAGGAGCATGCGTTCAACCTCTCATTCATAGGAGGCTGGAGGAAAGAATGAAATATTTATTCTGCTGCTGTACAAAAGGAACCAGCATGGTGTGACAAGCTATGTCAAAATGTCCACTGAGAATTGATCAGAGGCGGTGAAAGTGAAAAGCCCATCTGATCACAAACTCAGCTTTCCAGCCTTTAACAGCAACACACTGACAGATACGTGTCAGGCTTGGTTTTCAAAACAAATCAAGCATTTTAGAAGGATAGGGACCAATGTACTTCTGTAATCCTGCACCCTTTTCTGACAGGACAATTTGAATAGTGTGGATACACTGGGTGCATTTGTCTGTTGAGAAACAGTAGAGAAAATACTGAGACAAAACCTAAGCCAGATGACCTACATTCCACAAGCTGATGTGGGAGTAAATGCCTCTGAGTTGAATTAAACATATTGCATTGCTGAATTTCCAGTATTTTCCAATGAATCATTTTGATATTAAAACTCTCAAGGTGAGAATTCTTTAGAGACATTTGATCCAGCAGCAATTCCCCACTCAGCCTGGCGTTGATGACGCTTTCTCCAACCAGCATTCTTTTTTTAAAAAAAGTTTCATGAATTCAGGTTCCTTACCACGTCTTCTCCACAACATTGGTCTTCCATTACTCAATCCCAAATTATCATTGGTGCTGCAGCAATGTCACTGAAAGCCGAATGCTGAAATTTAGTCACTTCAAATCTTGAGCCTCGAAATTCCACCTAGTCTTAGCCTGTGAGACCATTGTGTCGTTTAAGTTTAAGATCGACCAGAATTGGTCAAAATTCTTAAATTCAGTCTTTTGAAAATTTAAGGCTTTCATTTTTAAGATTGAAGAATTTTCCACAATTCAAAACCACTTTAAATTTTGAGACATTATGTAAGCTAAGTCCAGGTGGAATTTCGGGTCTCTGATGTTCCCTCCCATTGTTGGTAAGGCTGACACTGGGTGCCATCTATTACCGTGGACAAGTTTAATTGTGACTGGCCGCTGTGTGAACGCCACTTGTGTGCTGCTATCCATTGTGCTGTGATAAGAAAATCATCCTGGGGTTTTCACACATACAGTACTGTAAAGTGCATCCAAATGACTTCAGAATCATTGATAAATTGATCAAGCGGTGACAATCACTTATGATCTACAAAGTATAAAGCACCTGTCCTGCCTTTTCACATATGTTTGTTACAATGACTTGCATTTATATACCGTCGAAAAAGGTCTTAAACAGCTTAAAAGCACAGTGAACGGTTATTTGTGCAAATGAAATAAACTGACGAGATGTATGTTCACACTGTAGAGAATAATTCACTTTGACATCCCTCTAGTGGAATTACTAAGAGCTTTGTTTGCTGATGCCATTGGATAATTTATTGATTTTATTCCGCCCTCTGCTTTTTAATTTTTCTGCCCCTGTAGATTCTCCATAGCTGTTGCACATTAGATACTCGGCGGGTGGTCTGCTTCTCAGATCTCCCATTGCTGCTCAGTAACCAACTGCTAATGTCTGGAGCTGACTTGTTCTCTAATTGTCTTTCTCTTCCATGAGAGTAGCATCTCCTCCCCACTCATTGCCTGGCCCACAGGCCCAGCTGAGTCCAACCCCACTATTTAGAGAACCACGGGCACAACCGTGTTCTAGCTCAATGACACAGAAGCAAGATAGAGTCCAACTAGCTTGGCATCTGCCAATTTGCAGAAATCTCATTAAACTGACAAATAGTGTACTACTGTGGGCGGGGCATGCACTATTGCTTACAGTGATGTATTCCATTCAGTTAGTGAAAATCAGCATTGAGGCAAATTAAGTTTGAACAGCAGTTAAAAATTGGACTTAGAAGTCCTGTAGCTCAATGGTTAGAGCCCTCACCTTGCAAGCGAGAGACTGTGCTTGATTCCCGACAGGGCAAAATGTTGGGCAAGTTTCCTTACTCCTCGTGCCTCTGGTTTACCTAGCAATAAGTAGGAACCCAGTTATTAGTCGATTGGTGGATCACTTTCCCGGGGGTAATAATTCCTTCAAAAAAAAGTAATAAATTGCTCACTCAATCCACAACTGTTTGTTGGACACTGTTGTGTGCAATTGGCTGCTGCATTTCGCCCACAAACTATACAATCAATTCACTTCACAGTATATTCTGTGAAGCGCTTTGAGACATCTCGAAGATGTCATAAGGTGCGATATCAAATGCAAGGATTATTATTATTAGCTGAAGTTCTCTGACCGAAATTCATAGCTCTGCTGCTGAGTTTATCAGACCGCTGACAGTACATTTTCCGTGCAGTTGAAATAACAGTCATACTTATTCTACCTCCTCTCCTAAAACAGGACTCATTTATTTACATTTATTCTTCTCTTTTCATTTTCTCTTAACCTCCTTAGGTGCCCTGACACACAGATCCTTCCCTGACTGATAATGCAGACAGGTGCCCTGTTCCCAGGCCCTCGCCAATGATCCTTTTAAACCAGGCAGTAGCTGATCAGAATAGTGATTTGCCATTATATGATAACCCTGCAGCTTGCACTCCCTTTAATGTCAATGGCGAGGAGTATGGTGGAATGTAAATGTGGCTGAGAAAGAGAGAATGAACAAAATGTACCACTGTTTCCATTGACCAACCCAAGCCTAAACCATGAGAAACATTTAAAAAACGACTTCTCAGAATGACATCGGGCAACACATGCACCCAGACCATAGAAAGATGCTTCTGTTCTCATGACATTTGCATAAAATTCCCATTGCAGGTGTCACACAAACGTCAAGCCCTGACATATTAATAGTGCTGTAGAATCCTTCTTGACTGC